ATTATTTGGATATTTCCAACAATTTGGGGGCTCGTCCGGGATCATCATCGCCCCTCGGGGGTTTCCCCCACTGCCCTGGACAGGATAGGTGCACCCCGCTGATTTCAGTGGTCCTGTCTGGGTGGTGAGGTGATTCCTGGGGACGGCCGATAAGAAACCGAGACTGTTACATACAGGACGGGCTCTGAGAAGGCCAAGGGGGTAGATAGGCACAGGCGTTGGTCATCACTACTCGGTAACTTCGTGCACGGACCAAGGTAAGGGAACTTATTTCTTGCCTTGGGGAAGTGGGGTCGGGTGAGACTCTTGAGTGTGTGTGACTGAGACGCACTTTTAGTGCGAAGCGAGTGCGGAGTCCCGACCTGCGGTTCCGTTGTCCCGCGAGGGGCACGGCCAGGGACGGAGGAAGCGACTGTCTTGGTGAAAGGAAGAGTCTCGATAGGGAGCTGTTGGTGTGCAGTACCCTGTGCACTTGACGAAGTGCCAGCAGCACACCCCTATTAATCTTAGAGAAAGGGGTATAGTACTCCTGAGAGATTAGGCCCAAAATCCGAGAATCAGGGTGTGGTAACCTGTGAGCCGGGAGGTTCACAGTAGCATTCTGGAGGGATGGGTAATAGGAGCTCCGGAGAGCGAGGGAAAAAGACCCCTAAAACTGTGCCTGGAAATAGCCCCTTGGGAGAAATGCTTAAGAATTGGGAAACCAACCCCAAAACTAGGGACAAGGACAAGGATAAGATGTTTAACTATTGTACCCAAATCTGGCCTAAAGAGCCTTTACAGGGAAAATCAGTATTTTGGCCAAAATATGGATCTGACGAAAATTGGGTCTGTCAGATTCTGAATACATACGTAAAAAGTAAAACCCCCTTGTCGGGGGAAGAAATAGAATATGCCGCTTGCTGGTCACGAGAGGTCAGCCTATTGCTGGCAAAGAAGGATTCGGAACAGGAGGAGGAGGAGTTGGTAAAGAGAGTTAATCGATGGGACCCCCTTGAGAATTTGCCCCCCCCATACAACCCTAATGTAGCGCAGGAAGCATCAGACACTTCCCCAAAAGAGCAAGAGAAAACTCATAGAGGAGTTTCACAGGAAGTAGGACATAACAGACTAAGAAGGGAGTTAGAACAATGTAAGAAGGATATTGAAAACTTTCCTTTCCCTGGCAATGACTGTACTAACGCTCCCATGTACCCCCTACGGGAGGTCCCGCTGGGACAGGGGCAAATAGGTTATGTAAACTCCCCACTCACTAGTGGAGAAGTCAGGATTTTTAAAAGGGAAATGAAATCTTTAATTGAGGATCCCATAGCAGTAGCAGAACAACTGGACCAATTTTTAGGTCCTAATTTGTACTCATGGGCAGAACTAATGTCCATCATGAGTACATTGTTTACGGGGGAGGAAAGGATTATGATCAGGCAAGCTGCTATGAGAACGTGGGAAAGGAATAATCCCCCCGGACGCCGTGGGCTGGTGCCTGCAGAACAAAAATATCCACTGGAAGATCCTAATTGGGACTGTAATAATGCACAACATAGGCAGAACATGCAGGACTTACGAGATATAATAATAGCTGGAATTAAGGAAGCTGTACCTAAGTCTCAGAATCTTGCTAAAGCATTTGAGGTTCAGCAGAACAGGGATGAATCCCCTAGTGATTTCTTAGAAAGGCTTAGAGATAGAATGAGAAAATACTCCGGAATGACTTCCGAGGATCCTATAGCCCTGGGCCTCCTTAAGTTAAATTTTGTAACTAAATCATGACCAGACATACAAAAGAAACTTCAAAAGATAGAAGGGTGGAGTACAAAGCCTCTAGAGGAACTTTTACAAGAAGCGCAGAAAGTATATGTTAGAAGGGAAAATGAGGGAGAAAAACAGAAAACTAGGTTAATGGTTTCCACACTGGATCGAGCAATAAAACAAACACTGGGTAACAGGGAACGAAAGACAGAAGAAAGGTCGGGTCCTAAGAGGTGGCAAAGAGAAGAAAAATTTCGAGAATATCGATCCAGACCTCAATCAGAGAGTAGGGAAAGAAGGTGTTTCAAGTGTGAAAAGCTGGGACACATAAAGAGAAACTGCCCAGAGTGGGAGAGAGAGGAGAAGCTTCAAGCTGCCTTAAATTCAGAATAGGGGTGTCAGGGGTTCTTGAAAAATTGGTCCCACCAGGAGCCCTTGGTAAATATTAAAGTGGGACCTAAAGGGGAAGAGATTGTATTTTTAGTTGATACCGGGGCAGCTCGATCGTCCCTGGCTCATAAAGTGTCAGGACTCAAATTAACTGATGAGAGTTTAAGAATAACCGGAGTAGAAGGGAAAGGGATGATAGTACCATTATTTGAAAACACAGAGTTAAGACTAGGAGATAAAACAATAACAGGACAATTATTGTATGTACCCGATGCAGGTACTAATTTATTAGGTAGAGATCTTATGATGAAGTTGGGAATACAAATAACCACCTGCCAGGAGGGAATCACAGTGTCCATGAAAGTGTTAACAGAGACAGATGAGAAAGATATAAATCCCATAGTTTGGGCAAAAGAAGGAAACAGGGGGGGGTTGAAAATACCCCCTTTGAAAATAAAGCTGCAGGAAAAATATGAAACCATAAGACAGAAACAATATCCAATTCCTACTGAAGGGCGTATTGGCCTTAAACCTGTGATACAGGGGTTGTTGAAAGACGGACTGTTGGAACCATGTATGTCACCCTTTAATTCTCCTATACTGCCAGTAAAAAAACCTGATGGTTCCTATAGATTGGTTCAGGACTTAAGGAAAATTAATGAAATAGTACAAAAACGACACCCAGTGGTTCCCAACCCGTATACATTGATGAGTAAAATCCCAAATGAAGATAAATGGTTTAGTGTCATAGATCTAAAAGATGCTTTTTGGTCATGTCCCTTGGATCCAGATAGCAGAGATATATTTGCCTTTGAGTGGGAAGACCCTGAGAGCGGGCGAAAACAACAGTACCGGTGGACAGTCCTGCCTCAGGGGTTTGCAGAATCACCAAATTTGTTTGAGCAAGTTTTGGAACAAATATTAGAACACTTTCAGTCGCCAGAGGGAGTATCACTCCTACAATATGTAGATGATCTTTTACTATCAGGATCAGAAAAAGCAAATGTTAAAAAGGCTACAAATGATCTGCTGAATTTTCTAGGAAAACAAGGACTAAGGGTCTCAAGGAATAAACTGCAGTATGTAGAAAAAGAAGTTAAATACCTGGGACATTTAATCTCTGAAGGAAAACGTAGGATCACCCCAGAAAGAATTCAGGGAATCGTCGAACTACCCTTACCAAAAACCAAGAAGGAGTTGAGAAAATTTTTAGGGGTGGTGGGATATTGCAGACTCTGGATAGAAGCGTATGCCCAGAAAACAAAAAAACTATATCTCAAATTATTAGAAGAGGAACCTAATAACCTTAAGTGGACTGTCGAGGAAAGAGAGTTAATAGAAGAATTGAAGCAAAATTTAATTACAGCACCAGTCTTGGCTCTCCCTGCATTGAACAAACCATTCCAACTCTTTGTTAATATAGATCAAGGGGCAGCCCTAGGAGTGTTAACCCAGGAGTGGGGGGACAAACGTCAACCCGTGGCATATCTATCCAAACTACTGGACCCAGTATCTCGAGGCTGGCCAGAATGCATTCAGGCAGTAGCAGCGACTGCTATTCTAGTAGAAGAAAGTAGAAAACTGACTTTTGGGGGACAACTGATAGTCACTACCCCACATCAGGTGAAGAATATTCTGACCCAAAGAGCTGGAAGGTGGTTAACTGATTCTAGAATTTTGAAATACGAAACAATACTACTGGAGAGAAGTGATTTAATATTAAAAACAGAGTCTTGTTTGAATCCAGCTACATTCCTGTGGAAAGGGGAAGGAGAAGAAAATGTAGAACACAACTGTTTAGATTTAATTGAGTATCAGACAAAAGTAAGATCTGACCTGCAAGACACTCCTCTTGAGGAAGGGAGGCTTTTGTTTATCGATGGGTCCTCAAGGGTGGTTCAAGGAAAAAGACTCAATGGATACGCCGTAGTAGAGGGAGCAGAAGGGGGGGTGAAGGAAATGGGCCGGCTGCCTAATGACTGGTCGGCACAGACATGTGAATTATACGCTTTGAATCGAGCACTCCACCTCCTTAAAGGAGAAGAGGGAACTATATATACTGACTCAAAGTATGCATATGGAGTGGTACATACTTTTGGAAAGATTTGGGAAGAACGAGGGTTAATTAACAGTAAAGGAAAAGGGTTAGTCCATGAAGAATTAATCAGACAAGTTTTAGACAATTTACTACTACCCACTGAAATTGCAGTGGTGCATGTCAGGGGTCACCAGAAGGGCGATTCACTCGTTGCTCAGGGAAATCGGGCAGCGGATGAGGCGGCTCGCAAGGCTGCTTTACAATCAACAATTACCATGAGTTATCTTGTGCCTGAGGTACCGCCTCCCCCCCCAAAGCAAATCTTCAGTGAAAAAGAAAAGGAAACTCTTAGGAATCTGGGAGCTACAGAATCTGAAGGAAGATGGACTCTCCCAGATGGGAGAGAGGTATTGAATAAAGCAGTAATGAGGGAGATTTTAATCATCCTGCATCAAGGGAGTCATTGGGGTGTACAAGCTATGTGTGACGCTGTGCTACGGAAATACATAAGTATAGGGATATATACTCTGGCTAAACAAGTCTGTAGGGGGTGTGCAGTATGCCAAAAAGTAAATAATAAGGTTATCAGGAACAGACCTAAAGGGGGAAGAGAGCCAGGGATTCGACCATTTCAAAATATTCAGGTAGATTTTACGGAACTTCCAAATGTAGGAAAGATCAAGTACTTATTAGTGTTAGTAGACCATTTAACTGGATGGGTAGAAGCATTCCCATCAGTATCTGCCACAGCCAATACAGTGGCTAAGATAATATTGGAACACATAATCCCTAGATATGGAGTGGTCGAACATATTGATTCGGATCAAGGTAGCCACTTCACCTCACACGTATTACAGAAACTAATGCACACTTTAGGGATTAAATGGGAATTACATACCCCCTGGCACCCCTCATCATCAGGAAGAGTAGAGAGAATGAATCAGACAATAAAGAAACACCTCACCAAGCTGGTTTTAGAAACTCGATTGCCTTGGACTAAATGTTTGCCTCTAGCACTTCTCCGAATCCGTACCGCACCAAGAAAAGATGTGGGGATTTCCCCATATGAAATGTTATTCGGGTTACCATATTTAGGAGGGAAAAGCGAAATACCGCAGTTTGAAACTAAAGATATGTTTCTTAAAAATTATATACTCGGGCTGTCTACTTCACTATCATCTCTCAGGATCCGAGGACTGTTAGCACAAACGCCACCTCTGGAATTCCCGATTCATCCGTTTCAACCTGGAGACTGGGTCCTCATCCAGACCTGGAAGGAGGCAAAGCTGCAACCCGATTGGGAAGGACCTTTCCAAGTACTCCTGACAACAGAAACAGCTGTCAGAACGGCCGAGAAAGGTTGGACTCACTACACCCGAGTAAAACCCTCCACTAACCCTGAAGTGTGGGAAACTGTTACCACGGAGGATCCGCTAAAGATAACAATTAGAAAAAAATCTTAGATGGACTAATTATTTTTTTTATTTTCTCTCTCACTATTAATATAGATAGAATAGAAGAGCATTTAGGATATATTTGTGTTTTTTTAGTGGGACATGTTTTATAACGATTATAAATAATGATGTGGGAAAAGGACCAGTTAGTCGTAGTAGTTTTGATTTTAACAATAATCATCTTCAAAAATTGCCATAGTCAACTGACTGCTTGGGAAAAGGATGACCTGCAGAGGGGAGCGGGAGGATACCCTGTTAAGATGTGGGTAAATGTGACCAAGAAAGAAACGCCTCAGACAATCACATTTGATGTTTGCAATGTGGTAGCCTGTGGGGGCTTAAGTGCTCAACGGCAATTGAGTCATGAAGAGAAATACCTTTGTCCTGAATTAGGCATGAATAGGAGGTCCCCTTGTGGGGGTTGGAATAATGTATGGTGGACAACAGCATATCAGGGGTGGACATACACCCCAGGGATATCTGATACACTGCAATCACACACCTTAAAACAACGAATTAGTATGTTCAAGGGAATTGTTCAACCAGACTGCCAGGCTTTACAATGTAATCCGATAACAATAACAATCAACAAGGCTGATAGCCTTGTTAACATCACTTTTGGCCTGGGAATAAATATTCGGGGAAAAGACCCGGTAGCTAGGTTCAGGGTAGCTGTATGGGATTCATTGCCTGACCATACTCAAAAGGTCCATGATAGGGAAGAAGAAGAAAAAAGTCCTTCTAAAGGTTCCGCAAATGTGATAATTACAGAAATAAAAGATCTTAGTCAGACATTTGAAATTGAGACTGGATACAAAGATGTGAATGCCTGGGTAGAATGGGTTAAATATACTGTTCAGAGTCTCAACCATAGCAACTGCTATGCTTGTGCATCTGGACGGCCCATAGCTCAGATTGTGCCTCTCCCTTTGGGATGGACTAAGGATCCCCAGGGGATGCAATGTATAATTGCCCTGTACCAGGAGAAAACCGCCTGGGGAAAAGAGGCCTGTAAGACACTGTCCCTGTTATTTCCTCCTATATCAGAGATGGATGCCCAAATCCCTCCTGCCTTCTCTAGGGCCATAGGTAACCATACAGCTTGTCTCTCCAGACAGGGTGTGAAGGCTACCAGGCTTATAGGAAATTTTGCACTGTGCAGTGAAACTCTGGATGTTACAAAGGACTTAGCAGGGAACTATTCTAGGCTGGAAGTCCCTAGGGCGGATCTCTGGTGGTACTGCGGGGGAAAGATCTTGCGATCCATTCTTCCATCTAATTGGGGAGGTACCTGTGCACTTGTTCAACTGGCTATCCCATTCACTCTGGCATTCGAGAAGAATCTATCACACATTCACAAAAGAAACAAAAGGGGTTTGGGAGCCCCATTTGATGACGACAATATATATATAGATTCAATTGGGGTGCCCAGAGGTGTCCCTGATGAATTTAAGGCTAGAAATCAAATTGCTGCAGGCTTTGAGTCTCTATTCTGGTGGGTGACAATCAATAAGAACGTAGATTGGATAAACTACATCTACTATAATCAACAAAGGTTTATAAACTACACTAAGGAGGCAATAAAGGGAATTGCTGAACAATTGGACGCTACAAGTAGGATGGCCTGGGAGAATAGGATTGCCCTGGACATGATGTTAGCCGAAAAGGGGTGTGTGTGTGTAATGTTAGGCACTCACTGCTGTACTTTCATACCAAATAACACAGCCCCGGATGGTACAATAACTAGAGCCCTACATGGGCTTACTACTTTGGCTAATGAACTAGCTGAGAACTCCGGAATAGATAGTTCGCTCACCGGATGGCTGGAATCCTGGTTTGGGAAGTGGAAAGGAATGGTTGTGTCTGTATTTACCTCTCTGATTGTAGTAGCAGGAGCCCTAGTAGCTATAGGTTGCTGTATCATCCCCTGTGTGAGAGGATTGGTACAGCGGTTAATTGAAACTGCCCTGATGAAGCAAACAGAGCCCATATCATATTTCGGTAGAATAATGATATTAGAAGAAAATGAAGACGAAGAAAGTAAAGAAGATATTGTAATTGTACCCTAGAAAAGGATTGCAGAAATCAACAGGGTAAAAGAAAAAGAGGGGGGAATTGTGGAAAGTGAAAGTGTTGTTTCTGCAGTGAACAATGGAGAAGGGCAATTGATTTAAGTAATTAAGTTGTAGCATATTCTTAGAAATAGTTAGTACGAGAAGTAAGAATAATATACACATATCGGTAACATTTTTAGAAACTTAATTACTGAATTACCTAACAAATTTGTTCTCACAGCAGATTTTGAATGTTCTAAACAATGTGTGTATAGTGTTTGGAACTAGAGAATGCATTGTAACGTTGTTCATTAGATCGGCAGAAGTGAAACACATTTAACAAACTTACAAAGAGTCAGGGCCTTTACACAAAGCAAAACTGTCACACTCTGTGGAATATCAGGATGCCATAGACAGGCTCCAGGATACTCCCTACTATTCTCCTTCCGAGCTTATCTCTGGAAGGACAGATGAATGATCAGAACAATGACTTAGTGTAAAGGGGTACAAATGTTAAAAGGGGGGTCATAAAACAATCAAGGGGCTATGTTTATGCTATAAAACAGACATCCAAAAACCG